CTCCAGTGCTTGTATGCATAAATAAATCTTTAAAAAAAAAAAAAAAAAAGAGGACATCTGAGTATTTTCTTCCTACTTAACCTGATCCAATTTTACCAGTTTTTCATCTTTTCTCACAAAGATGAGCTATTTCAAAACTAATAGAACTCTTGGGAGTTCATTGAACTAGTTATGCCATTTAAACCTGGACACTGAAGAACCGAAGTAAACATGTTACATTTTAAAATTAGAAATACTGTACTGCTCATTATAATATCCATCACATAGAAAGTTTCATTGCAACCCTCCCAAAATCCTTCCCCGTTGCCCAAAGGTAATCAATATTAATTACTTTTCATGTATTTTCCAGATGATGTAGAAAATTAAGTTCTGTTGATAGATGAGCTGTTAAGTATTTAGTGGAAAAGTAAGTCTGAATGGCTAAGTGAGGGTAAAAAACAATGACATGGTAACACCTGTGAACCTAAATGAACAAAGAAACTTAATGTCTGTTGTAAATTATAAGGAAAGGCTCTCAGGTAGGAATATCTAGTATTTTCAAGATATGTCAATGAGACCAATGAGGCTGGTGTAAAGTATATTAGTAAGGGAAGAAGAGAACAATAGTTTGTGTAGCATGTCTTGTAAATCACAAAACTTGAACTGTAATGCTGAAATAGGTAGCTATTAATGAATTATAAGCAGACAGTCCTTTAGGCAGTATTTTTTTCAAGCATTACATTTTAACAGGATCGATCTAGCTACCAAACTGGTGGGTGGGGGAAAAAAAGAAAAATATCTATGACAATAATGAAAACGACAGTGGTGGACCATGTAAAGGCAGTAGGTAAAGTGACAGAAAGGCCAAAGAAAAAGTATGAGAAAAAAGTCAAGGATGCCACCCAAAGTATGTCTACATAACATGCTAACTGTAGTTATTAACTGACCAGGCCAACAGTGCAGAAGAACCTGTTTCGAGTAAAAAGAGTGGCCATTTTGGACTCTGAAGCTAAACATACTTAAATTCAAGGGAACTTTAAGTGGCTGGTGACTAGTGTCTAGGCAGACTAGATGTCTAGGATGACTAATCATGGGAATTCCCAACTTATAAATGGTATATAAAAATCATGTGACTGAATAAATGACCTAGAATATAAACAGAAAACAAAGACTGAACCATAGAACATGCCATCTAAATGGGACAAAGCCAGAAACAGAAAAACCTGGAAATAGAAAAATTTTCTAGGGCTTCCCTGGCTTCCCTGGCAGGAGTTAGTCTCAGCACTATCAAGCTATCCCTACCCAGGACCTCTCAGGTCTCCTCCACTACTCCCCCCCAGCAGTGGGCTTCAGTAGAGCCACTTGTTCTGTCCCCCATTGTCTCTGAAGAATCTTCTCACCCCCCACACTTCTGGCCCACACCCCAGTTCTTTTATTCTGGCCCACACCCCAGTTCTTTTATTCATTAATAAAACTAGATTTTTTTTTTAAGTTTCTAGGAGGTAAGTGGTTTAATTATATAAATTATGCCAATGGATCAAATGAGGATTGAAAAAGAATTTAGCAATTTTACCCCCATGTGTACTTTTAAACCATGAAGTTATTTTCACCAAGAATTCACTTTTAAAACTGCATATTCATAAGATATGTAATTTTATACAAACAATGGAATGGTATTTGGCTTAAAGCACTTTTTCTTTTAACTTGCCAGTTTTTTCTTTTTTTGGTGTGGAAGATCTAAGGTGTAAGCCAGAGTTGCTAGGAGATAAGATGATGCACCAGAGATAGAATGAGGTGCAGAACAGGCAGAGTCACTGAAATATACTGCTAAAAGGGAGCAGTGGGCAAGAAAGGAGAGGTCTGCTTGCCCTTATGTGGGTTAGCTGCCTGGCCAAACAGAAAGGGACTAAATCCAGGCTGCAGCAGTAAGCAAGATAGCACTAAGGCTTAACACCTAGGACCCTAGGTAAGCCCCTTCACTTTAAAAATGACAGTTTTCTTGGAACTTTATCCAAATTAAAAAGATCTGTTTTTTTTTTTAAATACTTGACATATCAACTATAGACTATTAAGAATTGAAACCTACAAGTTTAATAAATGCCTGGGTTAAATTCATGTGTCACCATTTACTAGGCAAGTTTAGCTATGGGCAAATTAATTTCTATTGTTCAATTAAATATACATATAAAATCTCCCCAAAGTATGCAATAGTATTTACATAAGGCATGATAACATAAGTCAAGTACTTTAACAGTGGTGGGTACACAGTTGTATACAGGTTATTACTTCTAGAAAAAATTCATGTTCTACTTGATTTTTCCTTTCAAATGGGAAAGCTATTATATAATGACTGACCCAAGAAGGGGTGGTTAAAGACATAACTACCAATTTTGTAGAGCCTGACCAACCTATTCCATTCAAACTAAACATGTTTGCTCATTACTACATGTAAACAATTCATGTGAAAAATTAGGGCAAGTATCCTTAGGCACGGGATTTCTACTTTTTGAAGAGATCATTAGTGACCTACTCTAGCGGGTTCTCTAACTTATTGTTCTACTTGTACTTGATCCTCATTACTAGTATCACTAGACAAGAGCACAAAGGCAACTCCATTCTCCTTCAATAGATTTCTATTGTGCCCAAGATCATCTAGATCTTACAGATGGCTCTACCAGGACTTTTACACTATGGTTGGTCTCTGCTTACTGATCTAACTTCATCACTCTAACTGCTCACTGATCTAACTTCATTCATCACTCTAAACGCATAACTCTATGCATTTAAAAAAATGTTTATTTACTTATGCATACAAGAACTGAGGATGTAGGCCAGAGGTGCAGGGGGTGAGATGATTCACCAGCATGAGAAGCAGTGGACCAGAACAGAGGTCTGCTGTGCCATGCAGGTTAGCTCCCTGACTGGGGAATGAATTCATGCTGATAGCTTAAAAGCATTGAGACTTGAGCCCTCCCTGGTGGCGCAGAGGTTGCCTGCCCCAGAGGAGATGCACATAGCAAGGCAGACCTCTCCTGGCCCGCCCACTGCTCCCTTCAGCAGTGTACTTCAAGGATCTGCCTATTCTGCTCCCCACTCTGCCTCTGGTGAATTCTCTCACCCTCTGCATCGCTGTACCCCAGTTCTGTAAGCATAAATAATCTTTAAAAAAAGGGGGGGGGGAATTTGAGACTTGAGCCCCTGAGCCAGCTGGGGGGGGGGGGGGGGGCCGCTGGTATCTCTTCTCCAGTGGTATTTTGTTCTGAGGTTAAGTTCTCCAGCCTCCCAAACTCTCTCAAATAGGACAACCCATTTCCAAATATCAATTTTGACATTAATTCCTTTACAATCTCTTTATAATACCCTCCCACTTCCAAATGCTAAATTTGGTTCCTTATTACAATCATCTCACCTTGTTGTTTTCTTTCATGGATCTAGATTTGAACAGAATGTTGTGTTCATCCTACATGCTGAACTCTAATGCTGACTAAGTATTCAAATGTTTAATAAAAATCTGAATACCTGACTTTGAGAAAGTCAAAGATCCTAAGCAGCTGTTTCCTTAGCATCTATTCCCCTTCCAGAAGCTAGAAACCTGAAAGTCATGCCACTTTTCACATCACAGCCATCACTAAATATTCCTAAATTTACTTCTAATCCCAGTGCTACTTGCTTTTGATGAGACTGGGTCATTGACTGTTCCTTAGATTTAGTATTTCCTATTTCTACCAATCCCATCAGTCATTCCTACACTGCTCTCATGCATGGTAACATTTCCAAAAATGGAAATCTAATGTCACTCCCCATTTTGGAATCTTTCAATAGCTCACCTTCAATTTCCAGCTAAATATAATTATATACCATTCAAATTTTTGTAATCTGGTCTTAACTCCAAGATCCAGTTAAGCTCCCCTTCTCTTAAAGGAATTTCTTGACCTCAAAAAACCATTTTTCACTTGGTTCTGTGCTTACCTCCAATCACATTGTGGCATTTTATCTGTCTGTATCTCCAAAACCAGAATATTATCCACAAAGTAATGGAGATGTAGATTAACAATAGATTATATTGAACACATGGTAAACAGCAGCCACACAATGAAGAGGGAAAGCAAAGAGAAACAGAAAGTGCTTTCACACACCAAGGGCATGAATAAAATCTGGACCAACAATAGAAACATTTCTATTCTTCCAGATAACCTCAAGACCGTTTTTCCCTTAGCCTTCTCCCATCTGTTTTCCTTTGAAGCCTGCCTTCAGTTTTAGATTTTACTCTTCAGTATGTGAACATAACACATCTTTGAAAATCATTCCACTTTCCCAAGCTCAAAATGAATTCTCAAATATTCCAATACTACAAGTTGCTAAAATTCTTAAGTCTTCAGATACATTCTTACTAACTTATTCACTGTTCTTATAATAGACCAGACTCATTCCTTCCTATTACTTCTGGGATGACATTGGACCCCTAAGTATCTGGTTGGGCCATAGTCATCATTGAAAATAAGGTCAACCCTACATGTTTACTGACTTGGATACAAAAATTTAAGATTTTTGCCTCCAAGGTTAAAAATTCTATACCCTTTAAAAAAACTTCCTGGGAGACAAGCATTTTAATATCAAATCACGGTTCTGTGGGTCTGTTATATTGTACTGATAAGAGCAGTCTAAACATAATTGTCAAAAATCCAAGGAAATATACTCTAAATGACAAATTTACTTATTTGCAGTAACCTAAGAAAAAGGACTGCCAGATCTTATTGCGAATCACTAAAACCAGTCATCCTAAAACATACTTTATTCTTTCCAATTATCAAAAATTCTCAATGACTCAAATTAATTACTCATAATTCCATTTAGTTTACAAAAAAGCTGAGATGGCCTCCTTTTGGAAACATCTCTTCAAATACACACAAAGCATTGCCCAAATTTTCCAGCAGCTATCACCTACACCACAAAACTAGACTTAAAAATCGGTGTTTTTCCTAGTCTTTGCAATGAAACCAAGTGGACCTCACACCTCTTACCATCACCCAGGAAGGGTGTGCATCTGTTCCGAAGGCCCCCCTGGCTCCAAGTCATCCTGGCTGCTGCTGCTCCAGGCTGGGCATCCATGTTGCTGCAGCTTGTGGTTTGTGAGGGGTAGTGTACAGGAAAAGCAGGATGGGATTTCAAGGGAAACAGGAAGAAGATGGCTTTCTGGGAAAATGCCATCATCATCATAGGTGTTAAGTAGTACCACACACATTTTATTGCAGCACAGTTTAAAAATTTAACAAATGAAAGATTAAAAATAAAAAAAACAAAAATAAAAAAATTAAAAATACAGACGTCCAGAGATGCTCTAAAACAGTTAAGTTAAAGATCAGGAAAAATAAGGTCACAGACTTAACAGCCAGTAAAATTCTTTTGAGGGGGTAAGGGATGAGGGCAAGGGTGGGGTTGGGAGAGAAAAGGTTTATGCTCAATCCACTTAAAAATGCTAATGCCTTCACTTTCTCTCCCAAGATGCAAAACTCCAAAGTCAATCAGGAGGCGAAGAAATTCTTATGAACATTCAGAAAAACTCGACTTTAATCCGGTTAAAAATCATCAGTCATTATCATCATTATCACCACCATCATAAGTATAATAATAATAAATAATAGTAACTAGTAACAACAATAAAAAGGAAATCAGCGGAAAGTCAGGAAAAATGTAAAAAAAAAATTGGAATAACTTACTGTAGCTGAAGATCAAAAAAATCTCACTGTAAAAAAACAAAAATAAAAATAGCCCAGATTAGAAAAACGGGAGGTGTAAAAATGTCAAGTCAGTAAAGTTCATTTCTTTTCTTTCCAAAAGCAGTTTCCACAAAAACCGCAAGGGTAAAGTTCTCAGTAGCAGACAAGCAAAGCCCTTTCCACATCATCAATCAATCTTAAAAATACACGAGGAATAGAGAGGTCAGTTTATGAGAGGCTAAAAGGCTCCTCCTCCTCTAACCCAACTGCTGCAGAAAAAATAGAAATAGAAGTTTTAAAAATTACATCTTAAATCCAAGTCCCGTTTTTGGAAATAATTTAAAAAAAAAAAACACCTGTAAATTTGCCGTAGTGCACACCAAGTTGCATCATTATGTTTAAAATGTCTTAAAATCAGTTTTGGAATGGGAATGTGTGTGTTCTGGAAGGATGGGGTAGGGAGGTTAAAAATCAAAGCTGAGCTCCAGTGAGTAGGGATGGGGTTCGCCTTGCTGCCCTGTGAAAGGAGAAGGGACAGATTGAGTCAGAGTTCCTCAGAAATGTTGTGCCCTAAACCCCCAAGACAGAAATATCTGTCCATTGCATCTAACACATTTTGGTAAAGCTTTAACATTCCATCGGGATGGGGAGAGCCTTTATAGAATCCTCTACCAGTGACTGCTTTCACAATCTTCAACATCAGTAGGTGACTAAAATCAAGGTAGTACATGCCGATATTCCCTTAAGGGTCTCAAAAAAGGCCTACAATCCAACATTCATCTTGCTAATCAGCAGGATGGGCAAAGAAAATAGAAAAACCAGGTCACTAGAGATGAAGAAGCGAGCAAATGTCAAATATCAAGATTATGAATGTAAACAGATTCATGGTCTTTAAAATTTAATTCCTGTGAGACTGCAGTAATGGTCTATCATGAAGATACACTGTAGGATTATCTATTCTCAAATGAGTGATCAAACTGTAAGACCTGGTAAGTTCTACAATAAAGAGGAATGATGCTTTAAATAAGGAGCACGTTATTTCACTGCCTGAATGAAAAACCTCAGATTAAGGAAAGATTATTATGTTTACTGAATATCTAATGTCATTGATTTGTTCAAAAACAATTTGCCTTATGGAATTTGCTTATAAAAAGGTATATAAAATCAATTCCAATATATGTATTCTAAAAATCCAGATACACAAAACCCCACTAAAAATAACGTGCACCACAAATCGGCTACTGGCTAACACAGATTTGCATTTGCGTGTAGGTCTTTGTACAACTAAGAATGAACTGGTTGTATTCACATTTCAATAGCCAACAGATCCTATTCTCCTTTTACAAGTTTTAGTACACTAAAATATATGAACAGCTCGTGTCACCTGAGTCAATTATGAATAACTTCAGTACAGGATAGGTGCTATAACACTAAAATTTTAATGGTAAAAATTTTCAAAGAAACAAATCAGTTCAGGCATGACAGGTAAGATATGCAAATATAAAAAATATAGAAAAAGTTGTAGGAATTATCTCTTTCTATTCGATCTAACCTAGCCTGAACCTCTTACTCAAAAATTTCAGAATTACATTAAGTAATTTTGTGGCTCATCTACAACAAATCCTTTCCATGTGTCACTGGACACAAGTTAAAAAGCACCCAAAATGCTTTCATTTTTGAAAGCATTTATCTTTCAAAGTCAAGATCACCTCCCTAAAGACAGTATGTTAAAATGATGGGCTATCACGTATTAAAAAAGACAAAACAATTTTAGCACCTGTGATGCTGTGCAATTAACAGTAACTAGATTATACTTTGTTAAACCTCTGGGCAACTTGGATCTCCCCTTCCTAAAGGGGTAACCTCAAAACGAGTTGAGTTGTGATAAGCGGCACCTTATGTGACTGAGGAGAAATGCAAATTCTCGCGAACCACCTCAGAACCATTATTTAATTAGAAACTCTAGGGTTGAAGAGCCCAGCAATTTGTTTTAACTAGCCCTCTTGCTGACTCTATGTCAGCTCATGTTTGAAAACAAGAGTAAAGAATTTAATATGGAATTTTTATTCCCTAGTTAAGAGCAATTATTTTAAACAAAGTGCCTCATCCTTCCAGTGAACTGAGCATGATTGAACACCAAGGCTTCAAAATTTTTCCTGATACAACTAAAAATAAATCCAAAAAATCATAGCCTATACAGTAAACACACCAAGAGAATTTAAAGAAAAACATACAGCAGTCATTTTCCCCTTAATAAGCCGCAAGTTCAATACTTAAGAGGATATACGTAGTAGATATGCTACACCCAATAGTTCTGGTTTTCACCAATTCTCTACTAAGTCTATTAGTATGTATGAAATCATCTTCCTGATCTCAAGAGTATACAGATCAAGTATGAGCACATAATGCTCCCAAAGACAGCCACCAATAAAATTGTAGACTGAAATACTGTTAAGGTGTTAAGGCAGTTAACAGTAATTGCTAACATACAAAACCTGATTTAAGTAGAACTATTTTTCAACTTTCTGGCCACAAATGACTTGAGTTATAGAAATTAAAATCAGTAAGAAGCCAAAGACCCCTTATAAGAATAACCGAAATTCAGGAAGTTTTACTGATCTGCCTGACATCTAATAATTATGGGTAGATGAGGAAGCAGAGAGGGGGGAAAAAAAACAAGGTCTTTTCAACTCCTAAGTAGAGATTCTTTCAACTGTTACACTCCCAAGTTAACATCTCATATTCACCAGTTCATAGAACTAATCTTTAATGTAAGAATAACTCATCTGGAGCTTGTTTCTAACCACCATTCCATCCAAGCTAAGCCTGAATGCTATGTGACACCCTCTAGAGACCTAATTACAAATATAATCTATGTTTAAATTTTCCACAGAAAAAAATAGCCACAAGGCATTCCATGGCAAGAGCACACAAAAAGGTCATCAGACCTGCAACTTACTCACCCTTAAGTCAGTCCTCTCTAACCAACAACAAATTACGAGGGCTTACCTGTTTTAACACACATCTTGGGTAGTTTCTGGGACCACAATGTGAGTTTTGAGGCCAAATCCTCCCAAATGACATTAACTCAAAGGAATTGTTACCTTGGTATATGCTGATCCCAAAGAACCCTTATTTCTAAGACCGGGCAAAAAGTGCACTTTAATTTTAACTTTTACCAACAACTTTTATTAATTCCTGACACATCCCCTTATTTGCTAACAGTATTTTCTTTTAAGTAGATGATTTCTGTAACTAGTTAATCACTGCCCTTAGGGCTAATGGTTCTGCAGACACCAGCTTTAAACTAAGGAAAAAAGTTAAAGACCAAGCTTTTGATCCCTAGCACTATTTCTACATAGTGAGGGCCCAACAAGTAAGTGCACAAGAGTAAAATTATGTTCGCTTTCTATCAAATATCTTCTTCTCCAAAGGGAAGAATTGACCCTGCAGTACTGATTTCAACTGTCACTTGTAACATTTTTTCGTGAGATTAAAACATTATAAAAAGTAAATGTTAAAAGAGATAGAAAAAGCTATTTCTTGGATAAAGGAATGCAGTACTACTTAAAAACCTATGGGAACAATTTTATAAAATTAGCAATAAGTTCAATGACGTTTCAAAACCTAGTAATAATAGTAGCTATTACAGTACTTGCTGAACACAAACGTAGTTAACACATTTTTGACATAGTTTAAATGAACTGGAAAAGCAATGCCAGCTTATCTTCAAAAGTCAAATTTTAAGTTTATCATCTCAGTACATTACATGAACAACAAATACGACATTCATCATTAAATATTTTTCCAAGGCGCAGTTTGGGAATTTCCGCCAGTAATTTCTGATACCTAGTTCTTGTAAAGATTCAATTACAGTACGTTTGTACCTAAAATTCCAGTCACTAAGAAAAACCATTTGATGTCCTAGTGGTCAAATTCTTTACTGGGTCCACCACTAATGTGACCCAAACCATCTCAATTTATGCCTCAGCTTCTGTCTGAGAAGATAGTAATACCTACCTCAGCAAAGTTCCACTAACTTATATATTTCAAGTGATTTTGTAACCTGCAGATAAAAAGTCAGCTTCAATCATTACTGTTATTATGTAAATGAGGTTAGTATTTTTTTAATGAAACGGAAAAAAACGACTTCGAGGTCCATCATTTGTTCACCGAGTGCAATGAAAAGTAATCAACAAAATATTAAACCATTGTTATAACAGCTATTATCTTATGCCCTGCGGTACGCTCCAGAATTTTGATGCTTGCGGTAAAACATCTACTTGGTTATTGCTCCCCACCCCACTCCCTCCAATTTAAAAATTTAACAGGAGTTATTAACGTTGCATTTACTTCTACTGCATTACTGAGCATCTTCAGCTTCCCTTCCAGAATCTTTCTCGCAGTCCTCATGGTCGTAAAAATGAAAGGAAAGCAGCCGTTAACACCGGAGAGCGAAAAAAGAAACAGGACCATTTCCTCTGCAGATTGAGGCCTAGA